TTGAAATTCCGCTGTAGTGAATTGGGAAGCAGGGGCTTAGGAATGTTTCCTGGTTGCTCTACAGAATTACAGCTTGGTTCTTGTGTTGAGTGGAAAAGGCTTGGTTTACTGACCAGCAGCTGAGTTTGAGAGCTGTGAACGGCACAGTGAGTGTTGGAGATGCTGTAATTAAGTAACCGCCTCTGTGCCTGATGCGCATCTCAAGACAGTATAAATAGAGCTCCAGATGGCACCTTACAGATGTCAGGGATTGACAGCCTTTCTTTAAGACTACAGTGTGGCTTGAACATGAGGTTTATAAGCTTTGATATAAAGTGGTAATAGGAGGTAGGATCTGCACCTGGAGTAATATGTATCTCAGTGATGAGATGTGGTCTTCTGGTTAAGTTTATTTTGGAGAAGTGGGGGATGAAATTGTGCTCTGCAATTGGGTCAGGAGCAGCCCTGCTATTTATTTATCACACAGCTTAGGATTTTTTTGTTTTACTTTTAAGTTTTTTAAATTGCCTTTTAAAGCATATTTCCTTTCAACAGTTGTTATCCAGAAAAGGGTATGCATTTGCATTGTATTTTAGAAACATAGCCATTTCTGTTGCTTAAAGCATTACTAAGGGATGTGTGCCTTCACAATGAGGTCATTCTTTGTTCTTCTGGTGGTGGTAGTAATCTTCTGCAAAGTTATTTCTGGTTAGATGCATTGGTTGCAGTATTGAAGAAAGCTCCTTGAAGTTGCTTTTAGAGATGATCTTACAAGTAACATGAAGAAAGGTGTTTAAATTCAGCTTCAGTCTCTAGTTTCATTTTCCTTTGATACTAAGGTCTGTGTGCCATAAAATACTTTGCTTGTGTGGTCTGCAAGCTGGAGCAAGAACACATTTTTTGAGAAGGGCACCTGGAAAAAAAACAAAGGAAACAGAGGTAGAAGAAAGATTTGTAGGAGAAAACAAAATGTAAGGGACATTCTTCTCTGGTCTTGCACCTTTGTCTATTATAGTTTCTGAAGTTGAAGTGAACCAGGAAATCCTGCTCTAAAAGGAGGAGAGAAAGTTTTAGTTACAGGAATTGCAGCATCTCAAAGGCAAACTGTAAGATTTTCTGTATGGAAATGAAGCACAGCTTAATAGCACTTTAATGTGCCCCAAAGTTGACTCTCCATCTCCACAGTTAATAAAGGTATATTCTCCTTGAGGGGAGATGTTATCCAGATAAGATATTCAGTGAATGAAGAATAGCACTTGAATCTTTTTCAGCATGTGACAGACTTGTCAGCTTTGCCTCAGATGAATTGCCCTTTTGACAGGCAGAAATTCTGCAGTGATGTTCCCTTGAGACTCATGACCCTTGGAATTGGGGGTAGCACTTATGACTCTCATTGGAGACGCTCTGTTACCTGTAGTGTAGCCTCGGCTGGTCTGCAGTAAGAGAAACTTGTTTATTAGCAGCATACAGATGATGTTCATGCAGAGCTATGTGAATGTGTAATATCAATGTGGAATTGCAGGCACTGAGTGAATAATGAGTCTTGCGTTGGTCCGGTAGTTTAGGTAGTTCTGTCTGCTTTCACATGTGAGCCCCTTCCAACCTGGAGATACAGATAGGGTGGTGAAAGTTTGGGCCTCTTGGTTCTGTCTGACCTCAGAGGTGAAGCATTGATAAGTATGACACTTGCTGTACAGATGTGAAGCAGTACTTCCCTGGGAACAAAAGGCAAGGTACCTTATACTGCTGATGTGTTGCTGTTGCAGATGCACTTTGAAACCACTGGGTTTAGAGGCAAGCCATGACTTTGGCATAGCTGGGTTTAAATTCCATGGACTTCAAGAAAAATTTATCAGTGTTTTTGTTTGTTTAAGTTTAGTTTGTAATCCAGTTTATAAAAGAACTATGGGAAATGAGGTGGCAAAAACACTTGTGTGAACTTGAGTAAGATAACTCAGAGGAAACTTCATGACTTAAAGTGAAATTGATCAATGTCCCTTTAAACACAAAGAGCATAAGTGTTGATTTCTATCTTTGTCCTGCCTGAATGCCATGGTTCAGTGTTGGAGTTTGCTTCGTGGTACAATTCTTTCCAGCTTTGCAAAGGAACGGTCGGCATTAGGTAATGGAGCAGGGATTCTACACTTACGGGCAGAAATGGATGGTAATGTAGCCATAGTATAATTTGTGGAGTGCTGTGAAACCTAAGATGCCTGTACTGTAATTGCAAAAAAGGGCATGTAAGCAGACATTCATTTCCTTTTACAGACATAACAATGAGGATGTTCTGAACTAAGTAAGATACATTTCAAAACTTGTAAACAACATGTGTTGAAAGTATTGATCAACACAGACTTCAGAAGTACTCAGTTGCTGAAGAGTTTATATTGGCTAGGAAAATATTGCGGTGATTGCATTGCAATGTAAATACAATATAGAGCAGTGCAATAAATGTTATAACCAGCATAATGTATTCATGGATGGTTTTGGTGTTTTGTTAGTTAATGTGAAAAACCCCACATTCTAAATTAATTCTGGAAGCTTTTTCTACTTTGTACTGGTCTTACATTTTTGTCATCTCATTCTTTTTCTTCTATTTATGTCTGCCATATTCAGTCTGCTCTGGCAACTCTTAAAAAAATTCAGATGTTCAGTTGTTTTTTTAGATGATGTTATCGCTAATTCATGACAGTTCAGCATACAAACTTCCATCCTATAGTATGAAGGATCTAGTTTATAAGGTATCATGGACCTAATGCTGCAAGTCACACAGTTGAAACAAACAGTCTGGGTGGATTAGTCATTTGTGGTTTTGTGTGATTACATAGTTAGCAGCTCTATCTTCAGTAGCTGTCAAATTTTGTGATTGTTCAACCTCTATTAAAATGAGTTAAAATAATTTCAGCAATGCAACACTGGAAAAACCTGAAACTTATAGCACTATTTAACAGTTTAATCCTAAAAAATCCCAGCAACTACCAAATCTGAAATTCACCTAATGACCTGTTGTGGTAATACAGAGTAACAGTAAAATGTTTATATATATATCTATATGTACACATACATATATTCTGTTGAAACTTGATGGTGGCTTTCACTTCAAGCTTATGTTAGGAAGTTGTGTTACTGCTGAATAATAATAATATTCTTGAATAATGACAACAAATTTAAAGGCTAATTTGTGCTGTGTAGCTGACCTCACTTGTAATAGTCTGCAGTAACCTGACCTTTGAGAGAAAAAACTTCGGGCAGCATTTGTCTGACTCCGTTCAAAGTCCAAGGTTAGTTACAGGGAGGATGCATGAAAACCCATCACAGTTGCCTGTGATGCAAGACTAGGGAGAGCTCTGGAAATTCGTTTTCTTCCAGTGTTGCAGAAATAGGCAGCTGGAGAGAGGCACTTGACATATAGCTCCAGCTGAAAGGAGGGAGGGCTTCTGCCTGGCTTTGAACATCAGTGAATCTGCAGGAGAGGCTGCTGTGAAAGGCATTTATTCACTGAAACCTTTCTTTACACAATTCCTCTGTTCTGAAAGTGTTCACTGAAATCTGTGACCACTTTGGGAGTTGGTGAATTCTGTGTAATTCTGTGAATTCCAAATTTGTCCTGCCTGTGTTACTGTAGTTCTTTTCCCCCAGGACTGTTTGTTAAAATATTGGATGGAAGAAACAACACTAGGTTTTTTTGTCATCTTAATGGTTGCAAAGGAATTGCAAGACTAGAGATTATCATGTTGTGATCCGAGTTTGTGGCAGAAGTGTTCTGCTAGTTTCATGTTAGTGTGCATTACTTTGATCTGAAGCAAGTGTTCTTAAATTCATTGTGCTCGAGTACAGCTCCTGACTGCTGATAGCTAAACTGGAGGAGGACACTTTAATGTTTTGCTAATGATAGTGCTTAAACACATTGCTTATTTCCCTTTTATTGTACCTTTGCCTCTCACAAAGTGACGTGTGCCTGTTGCATAGGAGTAAAGAGGGAAGGGACAGAAGGAAGATCCTTCCTCTGTTCTGTGCCTGTAAAATAATTTTTTCCTTTATTGTAAGGTTTTCAAATTTGGAATGAAGTGTTTTCAAGTTACCGTTTGTAGCATGAGTTGCTTAAAATGGTTTACATGTTCTAATGGTTTTCAGGCTTCAGCAAGCCTATTTTTAGTAATGGATTATCACCCTTTATAGTGCCTGATCATCTTCTCAGAAAGCTTGCTAAGGCATTAGCATGATAGAAATAATGTTTGGAGTTTGATTGTGTGCTTGCTTCACTGCCCTGAGCCCAACTGCTCATCAACACTTGCTTGCCAAGGGCTCCTTCTCCTTTGGCCCTGCTACTTAACTGAAAACAATTAAAATAAAATAGGGTAGCCTAAAAAGATCGCCTTTGCTGCTCTGGCTGATTTTTATTGTTGTAGCAGTTCTGAGAGAGGAAGGCCCTGGCCAAGATGCCAGTGGCAAGCAGATGGGAATAGTAACATTTTCAGTTCATTTAAAAAATAAATCAATAAATAAATCAAACACATGATTTTAAAGTAGGTGAGTGGCTTAGCAAACCAGGTTACTTTGTTTCAGGTAAGGAAGGTGCTGCTGCTTTGTGAGGGAATCTGTTGGAGGCAGCTGCAGGATAACACTGTTCATTCAACAGCAGTAGCAGGTATACCTTCTTATAGTGGATTTTCTTAGATAAATTTGTGTTATCACTTTCTCTGTTGCTTTCATTATCATCATATCAGCATTCTGCAGCAGTTCTGAAAAATAATTTCAGCAGTTCTTCTTAGTGAACTAAATTTGTCTCCTTGCAAATACTGAAGAGTATCATTAACAGCTATTTTAGACAAAACTCATGGGCAAAAATTCACATGTGTAGCAGTTCTGGGCAGACTTGTAACTGGATAGCATTGTTAATTAAAAAAAATACTACCACATAATTATTCTACTGGCGTTTACATACCCTGATTTCTGGGTGAGATGCAATTATGACCATAAAATCCTGATGTTTTAATAATACCTGTTATGTTTTCTTTGCAGATCTTCTCTGGCTTTGAACAGCCATGCTACTCTGTTGCCAAAAATCAAGTGAAGTGAATGTGTGCGGTTACTCTCCTCTTGAATTTGAAGAAGATGGTAGCTTTGTATAGTGCCTGAAGGTAATTCTTTCTAAAGTTCTTTCTAGAACTTAAAAAAGTTCTAGACTGCTGATGCATGGCAGATCCTGTCATAAATATTTTTTATCTTAATAATGTTTCTTATTTCTATTTTTTAGTTAGGTTTAGTGCTAGGGTATGGAGAGGTAAATATTTGATTAAAACATTAAAACACACTGTATATAGTGGACAGCTTCCCTCTTTATGTTCAGAGCTGAAGTGATATTTAAGTTTCTATGAAAGCTGGATACTACACAAGCCTTTTCCTTATACATAAATGGAAAAAGGGCTTTATTCCTCTCTGCTCCATGGTGCTTGCTTGAAGCATTGTATTATTTAATGCTTGTTTCTAATTCCACCTGGATCACAGTGGCAGATACACCCTTTGCAAAGAGAAGTGTGTGCATGAGACTAATTCTGAAACATAGTCCAAAGAATTTAGTAATAAATAATTAACTTGTTGTGGGTGTTTTGCAGTTTTTGCCTATCTAATGACTTGGTTTATAGAGTATCTTCTTTAATACAAAATGGAACAGGTGCCAATGAGTACAGAAGAGTTCAAGTGTAAGGAGAACAAAACTGTTCAGAGCAAATTATTTAATGGGGGGGGTTTATTTGATGTGGTTCTGTTTCTGAAGCCTTGTTATGAAAATACATGTTTTAACTAGTTTATGTACTATAATTAATGCTTAAAAAGCATGTGGAAAGTCGCTGTCTTGTAAGAAAGCTCTTTTGACTTTCTGAAATAATTATTCTGGAAAAACCTCTGTCCCCCTCCTCATTTTAGTGGCATGTTTGTTATTTTTCTCTGTGGCTTGTTGATTTTTCTCTGTGTAGGCAAAGAGAAATGCAAATGCAGACTAATTTTAAAGTAATACAATTAGCTGTATAGACTTTGCATGTGTGTCCTATTAATATTTCAAGGATGACTTATATTACCTGTGAAATAATTTAATCCAAAAAGTCATTTTTATAATGATATAAAAAATTTTACTTGGTGGCTAAAACTTTTACGGCTTAACTTTTCATAACTCCTTCCAAAAAAAAATAAAATTTCAGGTCATTAGTGACTGCTGTGCTACTTGTGCTTCTGCAGAAGCTTTGTTAGTGTGGCAGAAATTATTCAACTACTTGGTTCCTGTGGATGAAAAAAGAGACTCAGAAGCGGGGAGTATTTCATTCATAAAATCTCAAATTAAATCTCAGTTTTATGAAGCAGGTCAATGCTTTCTGTTTGTCACATTGAAAAAACATGTACTTACAGTCACTCATCCAGGTGCTTGTAGGGCACAGGGCTGAAAATGCATCCTGTGGGCTGGACTGAGTGTTCTTTCTTGAATGGTCTGTGTTTGCTATTAGTAATGAAGAAAGTAGCTGCCAATGTAGCTAACCTTGGAAACAGAGGAAGAAATTTTCTAAAACTATTACTGAATTTTGAAAAAGGAAATCTACATAATCTATTGGGGTTTTTTTAATCTTGGTTTGGTTTTTTTTTTTCCACTCAGACTCATATGTCTGAGTGAAAAAACTTTGGATATGGATAGTAGTGAGGAGATAGACTTTGTAGCTGTAAGTTCAGGAGTTGCACTTACCAGCATACTGCTGCTTGTAAAATCTGGAAAAGATGTCTGGAAAATTCTGTATCTGGGGCTTTAAAAATGTATTTAATAATTAAGAAAAGCCAGGCAATAACCTGGGATAAGGCCTCTGCAGCTGGAAGTCGTATTTTCAGTCCTATTTGTAATATTTTTTTAAAATTTTTATTCTTCTCAGTACGTATTCTCATGTGTTCTAACCGTCTGCATAGACAGAGACATGCTTTGCCCATGGTTCTGGTCAGAGGAACATATCTGTCTTTAGTAATGGACAAAGAACTGGAATGGGAGCACTAATGTATTCACCCACTATAAATCTGAAAGTATTTTTTTCAAAAGCATGTGTGTGTCTTTTTCATAACTCATGTGAAACTAACACTTGAAATTTTTGTTTCAGTTTCTAAATGATTTTAGCAGTGGAAGTTATAAACTTCAGAGAACTAAAGAAATCATCATGAAGCTATATGTATTTTTGGTCAACACTGGAACTACCCTTACGTTTGATACTGAACTTGCTGTACAAAAGTAAGAGTAAATCAATTGTGTATTGTTTGCTTTTTAAATTAAAAAGTGTGTATACTTGTTATATACTAAATTCTTGACACGGTACTCAGTTGGTTTTACAGTATGTCAGTGTGGCTTTCTTCTAGGTTTGGGGTGAATTTTGGTGATGGTTTTTGCTTCATTTTTTCGTGATTAGCATTTTAAATGCCTTGCCAGATGTTTGTGTGTGAGATCCTGTGAAAGGGTAGAGAGTCTCTTTACTTTCTGGGACAGTGACAGAGCTGACCTGCTCTTAGCTGAATCTGGTGTTATGTTTGGTACTTTATGAAAAAAAACTGTCAGAATGAGTTCTGATCTTGTGTCCTTTTATTGAATGGTGTTTTTTATTTAGTATTCCTCTGTAAAAGGTTTGTTTTGTACTGACTGGCATCATAGAAGTTTTGCAGGTTGCTCTTTTTCCCTTTAGTATTCTCATCCTGAAGAAAATGTGTGCTCTGTAATGTCTTTAGGTTGGATGGTAAAGAATTGGCATGAAGAGTTTTGTCTTGTGTTCAGGATGGGTAGAAGTTAGTTCTGTACTACATTGCAAGGCTCCAAAATGTTATACAGCATTTTATATGTAACACATGAACTTCTGAATGCCCAACTGTTTAAAGCATGAGCAGTGTTACAGTACAACAGTTTACCACAATTAAGTCCCGATAACTTTTCTGTTTGTTTTTTTCACTGCATATTAAAAACATCTTGCAAATTTATAGATGCTTTTAGAGAGGTCTGTACTGTATCCTTTTTCTTCATGCTCATGTGCAAGACATGTTGGAGGTAGCAAGAGCTAAGCTTACCTGCTGCTTCATTTTCTATCAGTGATGAATGAGTTGCAAGTAATTGTGCTTGAAAGTCTTCTACCATGGATTTTGTGCTCAAATCCACATTTCCTTTCTCCTGAATTCTTATTGGTATTTTTCATGACTCAACAAGTGAATTTGGGTTTTGAAAATTGCTTGTGGTGAAAGTCTCCCAAGACTGTCTATACTGATTGGGTTTGGATGCTCTTCTGTAAAGCCTATTAACACTCAGGGTTATTATTGGGCATGAAATATAGTTTCATCCATTCTGGTGCTACTTGGTCATTTGCAGATGTGTCCACAGCCCTCTGTGCTGTCTGCTACATTTAGACATTTAGCCATGCCAGGCTCCTAATATTCCAGTATGGGCTGACTTTTTGCCCAGTTGGATAGTTCGTTGAGAAAGAGCCTTGCCAACAAATGAACCTCACAAACTGTTCAGCTGAAGAGTCTTTGACTTTTAACTTCCTATTCTGTAGATCTGTATGTATAGACTTACCCTTTCTAGCAAGACTAACTTTCTTGGGTTCTTTGCCCGTCGTCTTGTACATGGATAGGCTAAGCTGTCTTCCTAAAGGCCTTGGAGATGATAGGTGAATACTTACTGTAACACAGCTAGCAAATACAAGCTTGTGCTTATGAGAGGTTTGTAATTAATTTATGATGTAATGTTAAATCATGGTTATTTTAAATAACTGATCTAATATTTCAAGTACCATATAGCCAATAACATTGGTTCCTGCCAGTTATATCAAAAGCATTGTTTCTTATAGTATTATTACCAATACTATATATTGCTTATTCACTTAATACTCTGAAGCTTTTTAATATCTTTGAGTAGGCACTACCACAATGTGTTACAGTTGGGGTCAAGTAACTGTATTGGATTTGTAAATTCTTGTTTATTTTACTGTTTGCTTAAGCAGCAAAGTCTAGAACTGTCTAAAATAAGCAGTAATGTGAAGATGTCATCACCTAAAATTAAAGGTGTGAGGCTGATGAACTAAAACCAGGAATGGTCTATTGATAGCTTGTTTCAGCATTAAAAGTGTCTGTGATGTTTATATGAATTTGTTGCATATATATGGATTGTTAAATTTCCTGTTACTGTGAAGTGCTGTACTGCACTTCATGTACTGTAAATCAGTCAGAGTTCATTGGGTGAAGTTGTGCTTATGTGGTGCATAATGAAGTGTTAATATTCTTGTCTTTTAGGGTTTTGGCAAGTCAGCTGTTTGTTCATAAAGTATATATTTAAAGAACCTAACGACTTTTACACTTGTTATCCCAAATGCTTGATGTGACTTTAATCCAGAATTTCAGCAGTAATGCAGGCTGTTGTCTTTTAGCTGATAGCTTATTAGGTGAATATCCAGAATGCAACATATTACAGCACTTGTAAAGCTTAAAAATATGTCATTGTGCAAAATAAAAGTAATAGTTCTTCTAAAAATGCTCTGCTTTGACACAAACAACTCACATGTGTCTCTTACAGGAATATGTAAAATTAGAGACACAAATACACTGATAACGTCACCTTCTCTTCCCATTTTTTCCAGTGTGGCTGATCTGAAACATGCAATTCAAACGAAGTATAAGATTGCCATTCAGCACCAAGTGCTGGTTGTCAATGGAGGAGAGTGTATGGCACCAGACAGAAGAGTGTGTAGTTACAGTGCTGGAACAGTAAGTGCATACATCATTTTTAGCCTGAACTGTCATTTATAGGAGAAGAAAAAGGTGTTTTGCTAAGGGATCTGTAATTTATCCATAATGTGCTGTTTGCTGGATTTCTTTGATTTGAGAAACAGGCGTGTGTTTATTCAGCTTATACATGTAGATCTTAACTTAAAACACCCACAAAATGAAATAATTGGTGATTAAACTGTGTTGCCTTTATTCAGTGTTTGGTTTTGTTTTCGAGTGTAGGACACCAACCCAATTTTTTTATTCAACAAAGAAATGATCTTGTGTGAACGTCCACCAGCTATCCCCAAAACCACGTTTTCAGCAGAGAATGAGATGGAATTGAAAGTAGAAGAATCTCTTATGATGCCTGCAGTATTTCATACGGTAGCATCACGAACACAACTTGCTGTGGTAAGTAGATTCTTACTGTATCTGCACAACAAAGGAAAATGTGTCAGAGGGGAGGCTCAATGTAAAAGATGAAATAGTTTGTTCAAAAGACAGTGGCATATTAGTGAAGAAGTATTCTTTAGAGCCTTTGTCTCGAAGTTTCAAGGTAAGTATTGCAATTTGCTCCTTTAGCATGTTCAGAGCTTCTTTCCAAAGCACAGTGTAATACAGCTTTATGGGTGCATGACATTTACAGCATTTGCAAAATAAAAGCATCTTGTTGCTTTGGACATATGCCTTAATGCACTTATTTCAGTGTCCTCACTCTGCCTTAGCCTGAAAAGAGGAAAGTTACTTCGCAAACGTTGTTAACCCAAGTAGAAAATGAGCAGTGTAATTTTTAAAAGCACCTTGCCAAGCTTCTGTTTCATCTTCTGTGTCTAAACAACTGGTGGGGAATTAATAAAACTAAGCTGCTTTTTTTTAAATTCAGGTTGTTTATTACTTAGTACAGGCTTTCCTTGCATATGGCATATAATTACTTGCAAAATAGTCATAATTCCAATTTTATTATGTCTGTGTTATTTTGATAGGGAGAACTAATTCCCTGCAGCATGGTCAGTAAGATACCAAGTGTGCATACTGTGTCTTCAGGAATCTGACACAAGGTCTTCAGTAGCTGGACTGATTGTATTACTTTGTTAGGAAATTTTCAAATTTTGCATTTGAATGCATTAAATGTTTTTCATCTTTCTGAATATTATTTAAGCTTCCAGTGCCTGGGAGGTGGGAGAATGGTCATGTGTAGCACCTTGCACAGGATGAATAGTAATAATGTGTTTTGTCTTGGTAATAAAGTTCCTTAGTTTCAGTGGCAATTTTAATGCAGTCCAAAAGAATATTTAGTGTTTGAAGTGGCTGGTTTTTATTATGGTACAGCTGAGTTCAGGGAATAGTGTTAAGTCTTGCATATAGTACAGGGATTTTTGTTTTCCCCTTTGGCATCCTGACCTGTCAGGAGGGGGAAGTTTACCTGAATAAGCTGACCTTGACATACTGTCTGATTTAAGGCAAGGATTGAGTCCAGTAGACTTTCTCTCTACCACCTGTTGACAGTTACTGCTGACTTTGTAAACAGGACCTCGAGTTATTAGGTGTCTGTGAATCATATGACTGTCATACAGAGAAGAGTGGATATCAATGCGAATTCAGCTAAGGAGTGGGAGGTTTTCAATTGTGCTCCTTGAAGAGTGTGAGAATTCTGGTTTTAGCAGCTGAAACTGAAAGTACTTTAAAACCATTTTTGGTGAGTTGTTAAGAGGCTGTTACAGAAGTGAGACTGATAGCTGCTAAATACTTAATATTGATTCATTTGATATGAAAGGGCAGCTGTAGTAATTACTATGGCCTTTGTGTTTGTGGTTTACTTAGGGTTATGGGAGTGAAAGGTGGTAGTACTCAGTCTCACATTTCTCTTTGTTGATATTTTAGCTTATTTCTTCATCCCATCCCTTATTTTGTGGTCTTAAAGGTTCTTAATTTTGCTTACAGTTGGATAAAGTTGCTGTACAATGATGGAGCATATTTAATTCTTCTGGAATAATTTTTTCTTGATTCCAGCAGTATTATAAAAATACTCCTACTTAAACTAGGAAAGAATTGTTGGTGCTACCTACTCTCTCCCCTTGATTCTAAATGATGTGTTAACATGCAGACCATGGAACTTTGTTGCAGTGTTTGTGCAATATGTTATTTAGATCTTCACTATCTCATTCTGGTGGCAGGTCTGTAATGCTATAATGTTTAGCTACAGACTGGAAAGTTTATCTGGAGACAGTCATCTTGTGCTGATTTGCAAGAAGAAAATAAATCTTTCCATACTTGATAGCACCTATTAGTATAGGATGAGAAGTGTGGGGGAGAGGAATTCAGTATTTAAAGGTCTTTAAGTGTGGATTCAAGTAGAATAGAGGTGGGTTTTTTTAGCCTGCAGATTTGTCTTCAGGAAGATTATTACTTGTTCTGCACTTCTGCCACTTCTTCCCTGCTTGTAAAAGGGCTACAGTGAGGGTAGACTTGGTTTTTTTTTTGGTAGAAAAACTTAGAAATTTATTTTAAGATTAAATAGGTAGTAATATTCTCAAATTTGATACACCTTTCTACCCACTGTTAATTTTATGCAAGATTTTAAATCTTTTAAAACCATAGGCTTTGTGTTAGACTGTGAAAGTGAATTGGGTATCTCTTTGGGAGGTCAGGAGAGTGACAAAACCATCATGTATGTTGAAAGAAGAGTGAATTAGGCCATGGTGACTTTAGATTGTACCAAGGTGTGAAAACTGTGTAAGGGTGTATTGCAATATTGTGCTGAAGTAGTTTTTCATGATGCCTACTTGCAATGTATTGAGCAGTAACTCAGAAGAAACTGAGGGAAGACTGTGAATGTGGTTAGAACATTAATCTTCTCCAAGGTTCACCATAAGCCTCTTGGCTGTGAGGAAGAAGGCACATGGGATATTAATCCTTTTCAAAATCAGTTAAGGTCTGGAGAGAGCTAGAAAGGCTCTGAACCTCTAGTTCTGCCATTGATAAATCCAAAGGCACATTAAGAGCACTGTATGGGAGACTTGTGCAAAACAGACATGGAAAGTCTCTCATGTAATGATCCAAGCTTTTTTAAAATTAATTTTAGAGACACAGTAATCTGCTTCACCAGAAAAGCAGAATGGCAGTACCTGATGAAGAGTTTTTGCCTGTTTAATTATTTCAGGCTTTCTAAATTAATTAAATTTGATTATTTACTACTAATACATACGGTAGTACATGATAATGTTTGGTACTAGGAAAATGTAAGTTGCAATCTAAATTATTGCTCATGATAAGCATCCTAGCTCTTGTCAACAGCAAGAAGCAGTGATGTGTAACAGTGTGAAAGTAGAGTAGAATATTTGATAACTCCCAGTTTCTCAGTTAAAGCAACTTTCTAAGCCTTTTTGCATATTGTCTGAGTATTCTGGTTTCTCTTGGATTGAAAACTTACCTTTTAGATGTTTATTCCTAAAAGGTTACAGCTTGCCTTTGTACAACTAGCTTGGTTCCCCACCTCTCTTCTGGTTCATCAGTTCAGGCCTTGAGCTGCAGTATGTGCACAATGAGGTGCACATGGTGTTTGCAAGAAGTTAACAAACACACCAGCTTAGGGGAAGCCAAGCTGCTCTCTACGGAGCCCATTGTACAATAAACTGTGTTGTGTCAATCTGTCTAATCTTGTGGTCTTTAGGAAAGGATTATTTACCGCTCTTTTTTTAGTGATCTAACTGAAGTTTTCATGTTATTTATCCCAGAAGGATATTGAAAACTTGGACTTCCTTGGTGGTGGGTATGTTTCACATTTCATGTGATACCGTTGCTGTCATGATCAAACTGCCAATTCCTGTCAGGCTTTCTCTGGGAAGTGGAAATGAGGATGAGAAACTGTGTGGTTGTTTGATTTGGTTGCATAAAACCATGTCTGTAGTCATAGTACCTAGATCATTCTTGGTTTAGTTTCAAACACTTCATAATATTTAAGCCAAGAAGTGTTGTCATGCTTCCTAAAAGCTGTGTATCTACTATTTAGAGAAATGCTCTTTCTCTTCTACTAGAAAGCTGCTTTGAGACTCTCTGGGAAAGAGCTGCTTTAAAATTTTAATGCTCTCTGAGGTATTGCAATGTTTGTAGCAATTCTGTGGCCAAATTAATTTTGGCTAAATTGTTAGTCTAATAGTCAGGCACACTTCTAGCTTCTCCAGACAAGTCCAGATTCCTTTGTAAGTCAGATCAGTGATCAATCTCATAGAATTTTAAAGTAGTGCAGCAGGGTGGGCTTAAAATGGAGTAGTTTTTAGTTTGTCCTAAGGTATAATGAAAAATCTAAGGTATATTAGAAGATCTAGCATTGAATAGGTTGCCCAGGGAGGTGGTGGAGTTACCATCCCTAGAAGTGTTTAAGAGGCTTCTGGATCTGGTGGTGGAAAATATGGTATAGGAACTACAGTGTGGTGACAGGTTAATGCTTGGACTTGATCTTAAAGGTCTCTTCCAACCTTGATGATTCTATATTTGTTTTGGCTGACCTTTGTAACCAGAACTTTAGATAAAGTTTTTAAAAAATTCATCAGAAGAAAAAGAGTCGGGGGACTTGAAATCAAGCTAGCAGAAGTTATCACTTAGCTTGTGCCATGGTTTGATTCCCTGACCAGTGGTTTGTCAGCATCTCCATATGTTTCTCAGCAGTAAATTGTCACTTGACTTCTCCAAGCCTGTTTATTATGTCAGAGCACGTACTGAAGAAAAAGTCATTAAGCTGTGACTTTCAGAATAATTTACTATGTATCATGCTGATGATACAAGCATTTTCTGGGTATAAGTCATGAACTGTGTGGACAAAAGTCCAAAGGATGCAGTCATCAAATATTAAAGGAGAATGGAATAATCAGCTAAAGGAGAAATATCAAAGTCTTCCTCATAGTGAAATTAGCTGTTCCAATTACAGGTTTTGAAAGCTGAAATCTTGAAGTGATTAATCTAGTAGCTTTACTGATGTTTTAGTTGGAGATATGTATTAGGGATAATGGTCTTGGTAACTAATTCTGGGAAATTAGTCCCTCTTGTGAAAGTGTTTATCTGCTGTTACAGTGCACGGGTGTGTGGAATTTGACTTTCAAGGATCTTTTTTGTTGGCCTGAGGTTGGTTTTTAGGCTGACTGAACCCTGTAAGGAGTCCTTTTTACAGGGTTCCACATGGAAGTAGAGGACTTTGACTTGTTTCCTTTTACCACAGGGTTGTAGAGAATGGAAAGAACCCTGCATTTCCTGAGAACTTTTGTTCTTTAGAGGTAAGTTCAAAGACCACTTAAGACAAACAGACTTTTGTCAGATTCTTTTTTTTCTACTCAGATGAGCAGAATTATGAGAGTAGGATGCAAAGACAGTCTTGAAATTGAAGCTAAACCCTTTACCAGATAATTTCTGCTTTAGATAATACAGACTTTGTTGCTCCTACTGATATTTGGTTGAAATATGGTAAATAGAAGTGATTATAGTCAGAAGAATCGCCTTAATTTGTGATCATCAAAGGAAGCTATTCAACGAAACACTCTGTTAAAACACCCAGCCAAATACAGAATCTTTCTAGTGGCTCTGTGAATTTCTTGACAAATTAGGAAGGGAGGATACCTTTATGTACTCTTCAACATAGCAAGTGAAGATTAGCCTGGGTTTGTCTAGTCTTGTGCTGGTCGTGGTGCTTCTTGAGGTCTGCATTCCAGTGCTGTGGTGAAGCTGTCAGTGTTCTTAGGTATGCTGCTGTAGCCAAGTAAGATGGACGTAGCCCTACAAGGCAACTGAAGTCAACTTCTGTGCTCTGTGAACTGTTGGGTTTCTGCCAATAACTCTTGAGTGCATCTGTGAACAGTCAATGACAAAAGCAAGCCTGTTGTTAGGCAGGCTTCATTTTCTGTGCTGAAGCTGGCAACCTTACTGAGAAGTATTAAAACATATGTTGGATTGCAGGCCTTTATTTGTATGCCTGACATAATTCAGTTTGTAGACTTTATTCATTTAGCAGAGAATTGCTTAATTATTTTCTGCATACAGCCATGCCAGTTAGATGAAATAAATTGGTCTTGGTCCTTGCAAAGTAGCCTGAGGTCTCCACAGAAATGTCTGGACATGGTAGGAAGGACAAGTCAAATCACTTGAAGCTTTATTTCAGAAGTGATTGAAAGATGTATTTGTGTAGCTTTGAATTTCATAACTACTTTTAGTACTTTTTAGATACTCCAAAGGAAGCAAAAAACTTCACCACTTTTTTTTCTTTTTTTTTTTCCCTGAATGCTCTCACACTTTGAAAGCAGGGTTGGCTAAAACAAAACAAATGACATAATGGTTTAACATAGTCTTCTTGTTGACTTCACTGGTATCTGCTTAGTGTAGGCTTACGACTGAAGCAGTTCTGGTATGTGGACAGATAGTTACTCTATGTGGTTTAAACTGTGTTAGCACCATCTACTTGGAACTTCCCGAATTCAGAGTAATATTCTTTACTATTTGAGAATAGTAAGTTTTTCGTGATGTTGCCTAAGAAACAGTGTAAAGAGCAGTACTGTGTTCCTGTGGACTCCTAATTGCCTTCGGGTTCATCTGTGCATACAGAATTCTACAGTTTGCCTCTCTCCACATAGAGACAATTTCTTTGGTGTGTGAAAATAACTTTGAGAGGATGATAGTATGGAATGCTATTGTAATACCTTACATATGTGCCCTGAAACACATCTGTTTAGTTGTACAATCTGACTTGTAGCTTGTTAGCTTATGGGTAACTTTGAAATTATTCTTTGAAAAAAACTTTGCTATGTTTTCAGGCTAATGAATGTTGAATTCCGTGTTAGTTCAGAAAACAATCTTTTGTCTCTGAGAGACATGTCCCTATACTTATGATTGAGATGATTTATGAGCAATATTTATCATTGCTTTCATAAGGGGAGTTTTTTGTTTTAATGTCCACATCTCCTGTGTATGCATTGAGAAGCTGCAGCTCATCTGATAGTGAATACCTGGTTGAATACTTAGATGGCATTGAGGTATTTTTATATAGTAGATCCTTTGGGCATGTCTGTTATATGAAGATCCTGACACTTATTAGAATGTTCCTCTGTTACAAGGTTTCTAAAAAACTAAACAAATACTAATTTGCTGCTCTGGGAAACACTGTTGTTTGAGTAAATGGCAACAGTTTGGACTCCCAGATACAGTGTCAGCACTGGTCATTGGTTGTGTAACAAGTGATCTCAATTGTGAGGTGGTTTTTTCCTACTAAAATTTGATTTATTGTGACTTCTGTTTTGTGTTGGAAAGTGTTTTGCTGGGGAAGCAACCCTGTTAAAAACTAGTATCCTAAGTTGACAACACTTTGGTTCTCAAGGGAGCATCAAAAATGATGCATGATAAAGTTTCATAGGACAACTCCAACTTGTAACTTTTGACTTCCATTGTGAACATAATAAATCTAGCCAAAAAACCAAACATTGGGCAGTAGTTAAGGGTCTTGGGGTGGAAAGATTGGGTGTATCAAGCCTAGTGTATACTATAATGTATTAAACATTTGAGCTATGCCATGCTATGTGAAAGGAAAATAGAGCTAACAAAAACCTCTACTCAGGGCTTTTCAAGAAACATTTGTCTCCAGTCTTTACTTTTCCTGGTTAAACTGTGATACTCATTTGAAGGAAGTGCATACAAAGACTTTATGATCAGGTTTGATTTTGTAAGTGCCTTATGTTGTTTTAGTCTTGAAGCTAACATGTGGTTCTGTATATGCTCTCACTTCTGGAACTATTCCTGGAGGAAGGTTGACTTTGAGAAGAGTTTGAGAGTTGATGGTAAAATGCTTGTTTGCATTTCCAGGACATAGAGTAGAACGCATCAGAGGCATTCAGTTGCCTTTTCAGCTTCATCTTTAGTGGTTTTTTAGTATACCTTATGGTAAAACAGCCTTTTCTTTTGGTTATTAATATGATAAATGAGGAAGCAATAATTCTGCTTTTTTATATGCTGTGCAACTTGCCTTTGCATAACTGGTATGCCAAGTGGATTTAAGAAAATAAAAAATTGTTCAAGTTGTCAATATTGCATTAGTCAGCTTGTGTGCATTTAAATTGTAAAGACAAACTGGGGATAGTGTGGAGAAAATGACTTGCAGATTTCAGCACTATCTGGATATCATTCCAGTTGTGCTGTTGGTTAAATTTTGACTTAAGAAGTGAAAGCTTGTGCAGCAGTTAAGATAACTGGGTTTTTTTCCAAAATGGAAATCCTTGGTCTCACGTGCACAGGAAGCGACCAAAGTTCGAGGAAAAAAGATGACAAATACAGTCTCTATTATAAAGTGATAGAAATTTTGTAAATAGCTTTGGATTTCTTTGGAGTTGCATATATAAGTATATTGTATATTTGTCATTCATCTGCTGAAAATTTAGATATCATAGATTTGAAGGACAGTGGAATTTTGTCATACTGCTTGAGATTAGACCTGGACCTCTTGAAAAAAAGGAGGGTGGTCATAACTTTCAGATTTTATCAATGCTAATTCTGAAATGTTTGGATAAAATGCTCTGCAGTTTTGTGGTTTATTTTGGAAAGCTAAGTGTTGTTGGTCCCTAATTTTTTTTGGGAGTACATATGTGCTGCTAACCATGTGTTCCAAAGTGAATGCTTTCTGAAACATGCTGACGTGTTGTGTTTTTAGCACTGCTGTCTCACTGTGGTTTTCTCACATGTGCAGAGGAAAGTTGTGTTTGGTCCTATTTTAACAGTATGCTCTACCTGCAAAAAGTGGAAAAACTTTCTTGTAGGGTAGGTAGGTATTAAAACCCAAAGTACAGGTATGTGCAGGAAAATATTTTCTATGTAGTGTGTTATTAGTGAAATTTTGAGCTGAATGATTTATTGTTTGACTTTTGTATTACTTGCTTATTTTGGTGTTTTACTAGGCCCCTTGACGGGAACAGCCTGTTTTCTTAAATTGCTAAGTTTAAAATAGCTGCTCTTCCTACTAGTTAAAACTTCAGAATTGATTATAATAGGCATTGCTGGTAGTGCACTTTCAGTAAGAGATGATACTTGCTATATGTAGGTCTCTCTTAACTTCGCCAAGTGGGGTGGTGACTTCTCACCTTATGGCAGTAAAATGCTAAAGTGTCATCCAGTACTTTAACAGAAAAACTTCCACACTGGTTTGCAGATACCAACATTTCAGGACATGTTTTAGAGTTTTGTGGACACTCTGCACTGTTGCTCATCATGTTACATCTGGTTTATTAATCAGTGAAAGACTTGAATTAATTATTTGCACTGCTGTTTTCCTCATGCATCTCTTCTTGCATAAGATGCACCTGCACTTTTGCTGACTGATCCTGCAGTTCATTGTCTTGTTCTGAGCTTGTGCATGGCACATCAATGGTTTTGTCTTTAATGGACCTTGTTTGCTAGCTCTTTCTATCACATTACTAGTAGAAGTGTTATTTTTCATGTGTGCACACTGAATATTTTATATTAGCAGTATTTAATTTTATAATGTGTTTTTGGAACTAGTTGTCACCTGTCTGTTTTGAACATATTTCTCAGTAAATAGTATATATTTATTTTGCCTCTAATTACCTTTTCATTTAAGAAGAAAGGAAGTTTTGTTTTTCTGGTGAAGTTTTAAGGTGTGCAAGTTTATAGCTATCAGATTTCACACTTTCTGTTAATATCTTCAGTGTAGTTAACCACAGTAACCTGATTTGTATTTTGTTGATTTGTTTTTTTTCTTTTTCCTACCCCCCAGGAAATGTATGAGGTTGCCAAGAAGCTTTGCTCCTTTTGTGAAGGTCTTGTACATGATGAACATCTTCAGCATCAAGGCTGGGCTGCCATAATGGCCAACTTGGAAGATTGTACATACTCTTACCAAAAGCTGCTTTTCAAGTTTGAAAATGTGTATTCAAGCTATTTGCAGTCCATAGATGATATCAAGCTGAAACTTACACAGTAAGTTAGCTAATAAATTTAGCCTCAGTCTCCAAAGTGACTTTATTTTAAACATTTTTTTTGTTGTATGTCTACTGCTGGATTAATCAAGCATATATTTGTGTCATGGAGAACATTCTTTGTGTTCTATGCTAGTCATTTTTTTAACTGGCATTTTCCCTTGTATTAATCGGCACAAAGAAACCTGTGTTGAATTATGTGGAAGATAAGCTCGTTAATGAACAGCTGTTTAAGAGCTGGAGTTATTCCAAATGTGCACTAGAAAGATTGCAATTCTTAATATCAAGCATATTAAAAACCAGTTAATTCAAAAGTGTAAGTGTGCATTGAAAAATGTTAATGTCTAACTTAATTTAATCTCGCTCTGTGTTGAAAGTATGAAGTCATAAGACAAACTTCGAGTGTGTATGTATAACTTTGAGGGAGGGAGTGGCTGTATGTGTGTGCATACTTGTGTCCTGCAAATGCCAGTTGTTGCTTTAAAGAAAAACCTTTTACATTTTTGTGGCCATTATAGTATTATGAAATTCCTGAGAGTGCTTTGTCTAATAGAATGTAAGTGCATATTGGACACATTAAAAAACAAACCATAAATATGTTGCATATTTAAAGAAAAATTGAGCCTCATAGCTTTTACCAGATATATAGAAACTGTTCTGCGAAACTAGTCAAACTGAGAACACTGAAGTCTTTGATAATAAGCATTGATATTGGTGCAGACTGGAAACGTGTGTTTAAGAAAAGTAAATGGGCACATCTCAGTTTATCAAACTGTCCTAGTTTTCACTGCATTATGAACATAAGCATACTTGGTAATTCAGAGAACTTCATATTTAGCTGTGGAAGTCAGCAAAAACTGACTTATTTAGCTGTTCTTTTAGAAGAATAGAATCATAGAATGATTTGGGTTAGAAGGGACCTTAAAGATCATCTAGTTCTAACCCCCTTGCCATTGTCAGGGAACCTTCCACTGGATCAAATTGTTCAGAACCCCATCCAGCCTGGCCTTGAATACTTCCAGTGATGAGGCAGCCATAATTTCTCTGGGCAACCAGTTCCATTGCTTACCACCCTCACTAAAGAATTTTTTCCTAATACATACTGTAGTATAGTATCATAGTATGTTAAGGGATTAGAATGAAATTTAGATCATCTGGTTCCAACACGCCCTTTCCCTGGGCATGGACACATCACACTTCCTCCATGATGTTGGTACTGACCACAGTATTTTGAAAGGGTTGTTCCAAAATGTTTTAGAAATATGCTTCAATTCTAAAATAAATAGTTCTTTCTGTTGCAGGTGGTTTGTAGCTAAGATTTCATGTCACATTGGCATATAGATACTAATGTATTTTTTCTTCTTGCTTTTTAATGAAAGCTTGGGTTCTGCTGTTTCTATCATGGCCAAGATACCACTGCTGGAGTGCCTAACAAGACATAGTTACAGAGAGTGTTTAGAAAGACTGGATTCTTCACCTGAGCATGGAGGGGCAGGAAGTGAAGAAACTGAAGATGGGAAATCTGCTGAATTGGTGCTTTATCCTGATATATCTAAAGTGAACAGTAAATCAGTGTTAGCGTCGTTTTGCAAGTCAGTTGAACATTCAGCTTTGGAAGGCACAGATCCTGAAAATACAAAAGATAAGGAATCTAGTCAAAATGCTACCGCCCAGGACAATGAAACATCAGTAGAATTGAAAGAGGATGATCAGCCTTCCTTCAATGTGTCATTGTTAGACTGGATAAATGTTCAAGATAGACCTAATGATGTTGAATCCCTGGTCAGAAAATGTTTTGATTCTATGAGCAGGGTAAGTTAACAATTACTTACAAATCCAAGTTCTTTGCAGTGAATGTTGCCGCTTGTTTTCCAGCAACAGGCACTTTTGAAGTGACTCAACTATTTTTGTAACTTTTTTCTCATATAACTTTTGGAATGAAGACCAAAACAGAGACTGCAGAGGGATAGGGGTGGGGAAAGTGTTTTAAGAGTTTGGTTGTTAAAGAGTTTGATCTTTAGGAAGATGTATGCTTTCACAATGAGTGCTTGTTACCTTGCTCGTTTCTCAGATGGATAGCCATTCATGTTGGAAAGCCAATAGCTTCTTGTAGTATATAAGCAAAGTGACTTCTTTCTTTGTATTTTTCATAGAAATTACATTTTATAATAAAAGTAAAGATTTCTCTGGACCAGAGTTAATGTTCTTAATGATTAAAATACTGAAGCCTTTGAAATACAGAACAAATTCGTGTGGTCAGTTGTGATAAATTTATGTACTGTGTATATGCATTCTTCATTAGCTGGTACAGATGTGCTCAGAAAAGCCAATCAGTTTGGGCAGTGTCAGTTTGTATTTCTGCTGCTGGTAAAATAAAACATTGCTCATTTTACTTTCTAGGATATTGTTTCAATCAGTGAGTGTTAAAACCATTTAAAATTCTTAGGCCTACGGTTTTCTTTCTCTCTTTTTCACTGTAGCTTCTATTTCTTACATTGTCTAGGCTTGTTTACATATGTAGAGTATCAACTATTGCAACTTAATATGCCTTGAACAAAGAAAATAATTTCTGTTGTCTTTGACGCTTTATTTCGTCTGTAAGGTAGGAGTGGAAGATAAGAAGTAGATTCTCAGTTATTTCTAAAACCCTTCTGTTATAGTCTGTTCCATACATTGATTTTTCAATTCTGTCATAAAAATAATTGGAGAGTTGGGCTTAATATTAAGGGCTGTTTAAGATTTTGAGCTGTCCAAATTTTGGTAGTGCAGAAAATGCAAAGTTAAGATTGGACATTACAAGCTGGTTTTTAAAAAAAAATCCCACAATATTCGATTTTGGGTGTAAAAGACTGCCTATTTGCTGAAGTCTGAGACCAGTCCTCTGTCCTGTTTGTTTAATAATGCTACAAGGTACTTTCTGCTAGTTTAAAATGAGTACAAAATCCACTCGTTCAGTTGTGAGACAATAAATTCAATTTCTACATAATATTAACAGGACAGCAATGTAATATCTTGTAAAAATCAGTATTTTAAGAGACATTTAAACAATTGCTTCCAAATTAATTATGGTGATCCTAAAGACACAAACTTTGGTTAAATATTCACTCCTCCTTTTTTGCTCAGCTTGTAGTCTTATCTGATATAGAACAATGTTTTAGAGAGGCTGTCATGTCTTTTCTGTCCTTGTTTTGTCTAAGACTAGGTAGAAATCCTTTATTTCAACTGTTGCACTTGTTTAGTAACATAAGCTGATTTTTGTGTGATTGCACCTGCAAAAACAAAGTTTTTTTGATGTATTCTTGGCATAAGCAGAATTGCTTTAGAGTATTCTGGCCACCACCAGAACAGCTGTGACTGATCAATCCATTTTGATCGTAGCACAAAGTATTAAATCTTTGCCTACCATTGATTTAGAATTACTTGAAAACAGAATTGGCCTGTAGCTAAAACGGAAAAGAAAACACTAAATGAATATCTTGCAACATAATTGTTCTTTTTGAGATGACACTTAACATAGCAAGCTAAAATAAAATATCAGTAACTTTTTCAAATTGTTTTGCCTGCATTGTCCCCATGCTCTTTCCTTCTTGGAAATATGAAACATAGAAATGCTTTGTGATCACAATCTGTATTTGAAAAACTGAATTCAGATAAGATTTTCTTGAAGGTATAAAGCATCAGAGTAAGGGCTTTATACCTTTGGTACATAGTCTTGATAGAGCTGGTGCGTTTACAGAGTGCTGCTAGGTATATGGTGGTTCTAGTCTCTAGGTGTTTCTGCAAAATGACACTTCTAACTACAGAAACCAAGGATGTAGTAAAAGCAGGGGATAAATAGGAGCTAGCCAGATGTATCTGGTAAGTGCTGTTGTAGCCACTTAAAAAATGCTAGAAAGGGAAGATACTTGTAAAGATGAGGAGAGCAATATTATCTACCAGTGAAAGTAGAGCTGAATGCTACAGGTGCAGTTAGGTCAAAGATGGGATACAAAGAATGGATGGAGGAAATAAATTCTAGGGTGGAATCAGAGGAATAGGTGTTTTGTAAAAAGGAATAAAGGGAGTTTATGAAAGGGAACAAGGAAAAAACCCACCATATTGTTCTTTAGTATTTTGTCTGTTAAGAAACTGTTCTGGATGCTGTGGATTAATTCAAGATGTCATGGGAGAGTAATCCTGAATAGGCTGGCAATGAAACTGATTCTGTAAAATCCATCTGGCTTTATCCCAGAGACTACTTTTTGTTACTCGTTCTTGGAGATTGACAACTCCACTTGAGAGAGACCAAATTTCATAAGACAACACATACTATAAATTAATGTTTGTCATTTTCAGAGAATTTTGAATTATTTTGTCACATTAGTAATAGCATTAATTATTTATTCTGAAAAGTTCTGCACTCATTACTAGTTTTTGGTACTTTCCCCTGAAATCTTTTGGTTGGTGGTATTTTTTCTGTTTGTGTGAAGAAAATGGAAGATCTGTTCTTTGTAGTTGCTTGTTAATTTGTAATGCTTCTTCTCCTTAGATTTTTTTTTTTTCTATATCCTGGAGGGTTGTTTCCAGAATGAAGAAGTGCTGTATGCTGTCTGTGAAAATTTACAGGCAGTTAAATAGTAGATTGAGGGGAAAACAGTACTTCTATTTATGTTAACATAAAGTCATAGAAGTGCATTCTTTTTTGAAGGTTAATTTGTGTGCTCTGTAAGTGGCGTAAAGCCTGCATGTTGATGAAAGAAACCAGAGCTGTGGCAACTAATATGACCTCACGAATAGTGTCCTTTTCACTAGATTTTCATACAATAAATGTCATATCATAACCATTTTGGATAAATATAGGCAAATTGGTTCGTATTCTGCTAACATGCTTCTTACTGTGTTCTGGCTAATATATTCCATGTCTAAACTAAACTGTCCTTTATAAGATGTCACAATTATCTGTGTTGGTTCGAGAGCTCTTAATATAATTCACTACTTTTATAGTGTAACTTGTAGAGTCATCCTTGATATCTGTGGGCATGCGTAGCCTCTTAATGTTTCAAGTACTACTTTTTTTCCTGGATAATGGCCTGCGAAAGAATATGATGAAATAATTTTTTAAATCTGTTTTGCTTAGGAAGAAAAAAATTAGAGATAAGTATTGCAAATACGTTATTTTTCCTTAGTGTCTTCCATTTGCTTAGAGCTAATCTGCTTGTCTAAGTAGTCAATTAAAACATTTATTTAGTGGGAAAAGATTGATGGTTCTTGCAGCTTTTTCCATCACCTTCTGTCGAGTTACATTCATGACTTGATTGTAGCTGTATGGACTCTGTTCCAGGGCAGACTGTGTCCATTAGCTTTAAAGTGTCTCTTCCCCCTGCAGCTTGCCTTGTCCCCTCAATTAATGTCCCTTCCTCTTGTAAGGATCCCAATTTCTATCATGGTCTGGTGGGAATACTTCAGAGATGCATGCTGTGATACAGAATCCACTGACTCTTACACTCAGAATTCTGAAACGTGGCAGATGTAGTCACACATTAGATCAAATAAATAAACAAGTAAATAAATGAGCTTAAAAAAACTCGTCTAGCTAACTTATATCACCTTTCAGTATGTCAACTGCTAATAAACTTTACTTTTCTTTTTTTAGCTTGATCCGAGGATCATCCAACCCTTTCTGGCCGAATGTCGCCAAACTATCGCCAAACTAGATAATCAGAACATGAAGGCTATTAAAGGTCTTGAGGACAGACTCTATGCATTGGATCAGATGATAGCAAGCTGCAGCAGACTGGTGAATGAACAAAAAGAACTTGCTCAGGTAATACACATTCGTGTGTGCAACATTGGAAGATGGTAGATTTTTAATGTGTGTATGCTGTTAAAAGTTACACAATGAAACAAATGCATGTCTTAACACAAGATAGTTTTCTGCACATAATGCTGGAGTTGCTCCGAATGATGCTATATTCATAATAATTTGACAATTAAATATTGACAGTTTTTACCCCTTGTGGTCATGTTTTCACATGGTTTACAGGTACAGCTAGGAAGTCAGAACTTCAGTTGGAGATATGGAGTAAGAGATAGATTCATTTCAAAAGCAAACACTGAGTCCTTGGTAACTTGTCACTCAATGATACAGGATTAGGGAAGAGGTAATGGGCTTAATGGTTGGTCATCAATCTTGTAATGAGGAGAGAGAATAGGTGTGCCTTGACTAGAGAGTGTCATTTTAAGTGATAAGAAATTTGATTAAATACTATTTCACATGTAAAATATATAGCTCCTGTTTTTAAAAAATACTACAGTGTCATATGGAAGTTTGTTTATTAAATACAGTTTCTGTGAAGAGCTTCAGTTAACGTGATAATTAAGATTATTCTTTAATGCCTTGTTTGTGACTGAAGGTACATAAAAATCTGTATGTGGTTATTACCTGATGATGTTCAGATTTTCACCATGACCTCAGAACTGGGACTGTGAAGAAAGGCATAAGTTTTTTATACCTGCTTGCACATTGGTATATTATTAGTAGGAATAAATGAACAATCTTGCTTCCCTATCTTTGGGGTGGTTAGAGCCCCCTTTTGAGGAGGAGAGTGCTGGGCTGACAGTTGCCTAAGACCCAGGCTTCCTGCTGCATCTTTGGTCTGGTACATAAAGATGGGTACTACCAGTACTTCTGGCAGCATTGTTTAAAAGTGGAGCCTGTCTTCAGATAATTTCAGTAAGTTTAGAAGCAAGTTTATCCTAAATCTCAGCCTTGCAGTATTTAGAGGGTAGGCAGTTGCTAAGTCCAAGGTAATTTGGTATGATAGCTAAGCTGGTCTTCTGTCCCTATACTTCGTTGCCCCATGTTGTAAGTGGTGGTTTTAGCTGTTTGCCCTTTGCACATGGATGAAGAGCCTACCTCAAGTTAACCAATCCCACTTTGGAGTGAGATGCCTTACAGTCAGTTTGAAAGGAAAGATATTTCATCACTTTGTTTAAATGCTACTATAAATTAAGAATTTGTATCTTTTCAAGAGACTTTCATATCTTCATCTTTGTCTTTTCTGTTTTAGAAATTGGCTTCCTTTACTTATGATGTAAGGTTTTTTAAGAAAAGTCAGCTGGAATGTGATTGTTTGTTTTTTTTTTTTTAAACTTCAATTAATTACATGTTTGTGGTTAAACACATAATTAAGTGTACTACCAGATGCTTTTATTCATTGATTTTTATATTTCAGCCTTAGTGAGTATTTTTATACCATCTTTAGCAGTTGTTTGGGTGCTGTTTGAAAAAAGAATTAGATGCTTTTAAGATACTAGAGCTGGTACCATGTTACTCATTAAAATGAAAGGCTGCATAGAAATCAGATTGGTGAAGTGCAAAGGCTTAATTATATTTGAAAATGCAGATGAGGATTTGTGTATTTAATTTAAAGGTAGTGCTCATAATTTTTTGGGATAATTGTCAATATTTGCCTTTCTGTGAAAAAACTCCTCTGGTTTTTCTTTACATCACACCTTCCAGCAGTAAACTGCTTCTGTTCATAAAGAAATCAAGCTCAGGTTCTTTATAGAACAAGGATAAGGAACATCTCAATGGGACTCTCATTGGCAGTATTCAGTTTGGAACCTGTAGGCTTATTTTCCCCAGGCTGGAAAAAGCTGGTGTTCTATCCAGTTCTTTCCTCGGTTTCATTATTAAAATTCAAACCAAACTTGTCCTACAAAACATATTCATTTGCTGCAGGAAGGCCTCATTGCTTAGTTAATTTCCTTGCTCCTGGACCTGCCTTAAAAGTTCTTTCACCTTGCATCAGGCTGTTCAATTGACTGGCCATTAAACAGCCAGTTCAGTAGTTAATATCCAGCCCTTTACATTTAATATGAAAATCTGCCTTGTTAAATTTAAAGACTCTTTTGCTCTGTGGCTGCTGGGATTTATAACATAAGCATATAGAACTGCGGTCAGCAGGTGGTATTATGTAATAAGATTATGCCTCTACAAAATTTGGAGCCTCTCTCATCTTTTGGTGTAATTCTGCCTAATAGATTATCCTTTCCAACATTTTATTATGCTTGATTTTATTTTTTTATATTTCCTTATTAGTAGCATAGCCTTTCAAAATGTTTTATTACATTGAAATGCATTTCCATCAGTTAGGTTCATAGAAGTGTTACTCTTCTATTAGCTCAGTTAAACAGTCAAGCTGTTTGGCAGATGACCTTGATTCTGGTTCTGTACTTTTAATTTCCTCTGTTTCTTGTTACAACAAGGAAAGCTTTAGATTCTTATGTTTATAGTGATTCAGGGTCTTCTCAGCTGCTTATTACATGACTGACTGCCTTCTCTACTGATTTTTCAAACTTCAGTTTAAAGTGTTTTTTAACTATTCTATGATTGTTGCTTCTTTGATTTGGAATAGTAGTTGGGGAAATCCATAAAGGCATTATCATACCTATTATTCAGGGCACTTCTTAGTTTAATTTTGAAGTGCTTGTCATGAATCCCATCATCTGATCAGGGCTAGAATGGCAAGAACTAAATTGTGAGAAGAATTGATTATTTACATCTTGGATTTCTCCACAGTTTATTGGTGTTCCACTCACCTTTTTTTATTCCCCTTGCTTTTCTGTGTTTTTTTCTTAATTGGCCTTTTTATAGGATGCTGAGATTTTTCTGTATGATTTGCGTGCCAGGGTAACTTTAGTTTACATTTTCTGTAATGGAAAAATATATTCAACTTTATGAATAATCTTTTGGAACTGAAAGTAAAGCTGGAAAAGATTTTGTCTCACCATATCCAGTTTTGTGTAACTTCAAGCTCCATGCCATGTGATTCATTTAAAAAGCTTACTGAGTTGCTATTGAAAAACAATTATTTTCTTGACTTCTCTATTCCTGTTGCAAAGTTATACAGATTCTGTTGTCCTAATGTTTATAAACATCAGTTAATCTCAGGTCTGGATGAATTCTTGGCTAGCTCAAATCTGTGTCTCATGCACATACTGCCTTTAATTTCAGTGCGTGTCAATTCTCTAATAACTTGCAGCATGTTTCTTCAATGTCTTTGTCTTTCTTGACTAAAGAACTCAGCTTCTTTTGATGGGACTGTTGTCTTCTTCATCATTAACAGGTCCTCCTACCTTTTCTGGTGTTCATTCACTTGGCTCAAATAATACATACAGTTAATGTTTCCAGCCTGCATTTGTTTTCCAGAGGGTCCTTGCTCATTCAGTGCATAAGTTGCTCAGAATTCAGTAAATGGTTGATTGTTTAGTATTCTCGAGCGTCTTCAATGTACGTCTTTCCTTTTCTTCTCATTGCACTTACTATACTTGCTTGATACTTACTTTGATTTCTGTGCTGCTGTCACTGGTGCATAAATATTTATTATGTAAACACATTCTATAGCGTCTTACGACAAGGTTGCATTACTTTCAGTATCCATTCAGTAATCACTGGTTCCATTTTTCAGCAGTTTTATATAACTCTCTATTGGTTTCTGTTCTCAGCTTCAGAAAGAAACACTTAAAACTATTGCCTGCTTTTGAATTCTTTATTAAGAAAACAAAGGCTTAATAAACAAGTTCATAGAACTACAAACGTAGTAACCACTATGATGTTCAAGCAACATGTCAGCAATAGCGTATGAATGTAGACAATTGCAAAGCTGAAATTGGTGGTGTTGGGTGATATCTTCTTGCCTAAAGGGCCACATTGTTTTCAGGAATATTTGCATCTTATCTGTTGAATGTGATGAAGGATACAATGGCCTAGGACAGTAGTTACACCAGCAGTGTCTGTCTGTCTTGTTTCTTCTATATACATGTATTTAAGTTATCTCCTGTAATCAGCCGTCTAAGACATGCTTATCTAAAGGCAGGGCATCTTTCCTGTTTTGCCACCCACCTTCATAGTGTTTGCCTGTTACCATACACAACAGATAGTTCTTTACGTTGCCCAACTCCTACATGTGAATGAAATGCCTACCTGTGATCTTGGCTCTCAAGAAGAATTAGTTTCATGTGTGGATTTCTTTATGCAAACAATGTATATTCTTTAGCCCACGGTAGTAGTGAACATGCTCTAAGTTGATGTTAAGTCTTGCATATGCCAGAAGTTAACAGGATGGTTGTTTGCAGAAATTAAAATGATGGTTGTTCCCCTACATCCCACTAGCTGTTTATCTGCTGCATTAGTTTTTATGATCTTTCACTGGTGTTGGTTAGTTGGGTGAAGTTGTTTTAGGGTTGTGTCTGTCACTGGGAGTGAAATATCAGATAAGACTGATTTGAATTGGATTACAGAATGGAAAGAAAGCAACTTTTGATGGCCTTTTATGATGGGGCCACAGCATTGATGGATAGGGGCAGGGCAACTGACATCATCATGTATCCTTCTGTTATACTCCTCAATGATTACAGTAAATTTATTAAAATTCTTGCATTCTTATAGAAGGTATATCACTTGCATGCTCTTTGATTGTATAACAAATGTCTTTCTTTATCTAGGGATTTTTGGCTAATCAGAAGAGAGCTGAGAACTTGAAAGATCCTTCTGTGCTGCCTGATTTGTGTTTGAGTCATGCAAATCAGCTGATGATTATGTTAACTAATCACAGAAAACTGTTAGATATTAAACAGAAATGTACCACTGCCAAACAGGAGCTTGCAAATAATCTGCAAGTCAGACTGAAGTAAGTTACAACTTTTCAACTTTGTATTGCTTCCACTTGCAGCAAAGCTGTTTAAGGAATGTGTGTCTTCAGGGAATCATTACTATGAGAAAGTCAAAAGGGCATGTCTTGTAGTTTCACTGTTAGTATATGTTCATAACTGCTTAATGCTGAGTTTCACTTTCAAATGTTGTTTCACTTTTACTTCACTTCTATCAATAAAAGCAATTTTACATTTGTTTACTTGTGGGATATACCTCTACCTTATGCCTTCTCTGGTGGCAGAGTTGCAGTAATGTTTCTCCTCAAGTATACCAGTTGATCACCTTCTCAGTAGTTATCCTGTGATCTAGTTCTATTGGTGGCTGCAGTAGGACAAGAGGGCACAGACTCGCTGAGGATGTATCAGCTTTTTTAATTCTACTGGGGAAAGTTACGTTATTAGCTCTCATAAGGTTGTTTATGAGCATTACCTGTCAAAAACCCAATGCCTGAGCTCAAATGGTGGTAAAAGTTCATTTTTTTGAATGCTGATGTGCATATCTTACTGTGAGAAATTACTAGGGAACTGCAAGGTGACTATAGAATTCTGGATTGCTTGGTACTTTCAGATGTTTCCCATTTTGTCCTATGCAAAATGATCTCATTGCTCATTTTGTACAGATGTGTTGCTAATTAATTTAAATGGAAAGAAAAAGTCTTAAGTTTTGATCTTCTAAAGTGTGTAACCTACTTCTGTAGGTGGTGTTGTTTCGTGATGCTTCATGCTGACCAAGATGGAGAGAAACTACAAGCATTGCTTCGTCTTGTAACAGAGCTCCTAGAAAGGGTCAAAGTTGTAGAGGCTCTCAGTACTGTTCCTCAGATGTACTGTCTAGCTGTTGTTGAGGTTGTAAGGAGAAAAATGTTCATAAAACACTACAGGGAGGTAAGTAAATAAAGCTTTGAGGCCAAACATTTGTACAGTGCATAAATTAACAACTCACTACATATTTTTCCTTTTTACAGTGGGCAGGTGCTTTAATAAAAGATGGGAAACACCTTTATGAAGCTGAAAAGGCAAAAAGGGAATCTTTTGGTAAACTGTTCAGTAAGTACTTTCTCTTCTGTGAAATCGGAATGTGTTGAAGTGTAACTTGTGTCTTCATATTGTAATTTCAGTATTTGTGTATTTTTTTAAAACTAAAATGGGAAGTTTCTGCAGTTCCTGTTTAAATGTACACTACAGGCTTTATTGTTCTTTTAAATAGCTATTTAAAAACCATTACTGAATATCTGGGTATTGCTATGACTTCCTCTGTACTACTTCAAAAAAATCCACTAATTAAGACCCATGTCTAAAGACCTTGATCAACAGTTTAGAAAAAACAACTAAAATTGAAGTAGCTGGTAAAAGAACTGATTACTTTAATGCAAAGTCTCTAACTTATGTCCTGAATGGACATGTCAAATAAGAAAATTGTGCAAAAGTTTACCAAAATTCTTGGAAAGGAGATTAGCAAGACTAAGAGGAAAAGAGGTCAAGGCTTTTTGCGTGGATGAACAATAGGCAAAAAGAGGCTTCTGTAAAGTGAGAAGCTCTTAAATAGTGGGTTTTGCCTCAAGTTCTCTGGTCATTTCAATTTTAAGTTGTTGACAAATGGCATAGTTAGTAATGCTTTCAAAGGTAGTTCAGATGTTTAACTGCAGTAACTTAATTATTTTCTCTGGAGACATTTTGTATGTTACTTTTCTTCCTTTAAATAAGTTGCACTTTGTTCTCCTTTCCCCAGGGAAGTCTTTCCTAAGGAATCGCGAGACATTTTGTATGTTGCTTTTCTTCCTTCAAATAAGTTGCACTTTGTTCTCCTTCCCCCAGGGAAGTCTTTCCTAAGGAATCGCCTGTTTAGAGGACTTGACTCCTGGCCTCCATCCTTTTGTGTATGTACTCATATCTTTGGATTTATTTTACTAGTATAAACAATAGTTTCATAAATTAAAACCCTAAGCTTAATTCTTTCAAGCTTTATGCCTGCCACATTGCTGTGGCACAGATGAAAAAGCTGACAGCTAGTGTTCTTTGCCATTTCAAGTGTCCTGTATTAACATTGGTTTGTAACTTTCAGTGCAGTGGGAGAAGAAACGTCAAACATAATAGACCTTTCTAGCAAGGAGCCTGTGGTATTGAACAAAAGGTTGCTATTAATGGTCAAAAAAAGAAGGCAGGAGGAATAATTTTATCATCTAATTGTCTTGTGAATAATAGAGCCATAAAATTAATTGGATGGTAAAAGATTTCCATGTTTTCTGATAATCACTGGATGAGTGGGAAAACATTTTTGTCTTTTAACTGGCTGATAACATGAAGGGGTGAAAAAGTATGGCTGTAATTAAGTATTGTCTGTCAGCTTTGATTTCATACAGCTTGGTTAATTGAAGTAAGCTAACGCCCTGATTCTAAGGTTGCCATCTCACTTTGCCGTTTTAACCTTTTCAGCCTTGGTTTTGCAGTTTGGTTTTGGTTTTTTTAAAGGATACTTGGAAAATAAGAATGCTACTCATTTCAGTGTTTGAAATACTGAATTAATATTTGACTGCATGCTTAGCAGCACAGTAAATAAAGCTTCAGTGTCATTTCTTATCCCTTAACATCCGTAATGTTTATGAAGGTTGGTAATAGGGAGGAAGTTGGACTAGATGATTGTTGTCCAACTGAAATTCTACTGCTGCCTGAGGCACTATTATAAATGTAAAGGATTTTGTTTTGGGTGAGTTTTTTTGCTTCTGAAAAAAATAATCTTTTAAGAGAGAGATCAGTTTAACACCATCTTTTCTGTGTTATTTATTAAGCTCCTTCCAATCCTTCTTTAGTAATCTTTTTACTTTACAGCAATGTGTAAATTAATTTCTTCTTTACAGACACGAAAACCTCGCAGGTTTGACAGTGAGCTTCCAGATATCTCATTGAGTGACTTGCAGTTTTTGCAGTCTTTTTGTCCTTCAGAAGTACAGCCATTACTCAGGTAAAGCAGCTTTTTCACTTTGTGTGTTACAGAAACAGCTTCCCCTAATGGTCCCACCCTCTTTAGCTTTCTACCCCCCAAATTCATTTTCCAGAAAGAACAGGCAAGGGTAATTTCTGAACTGATGCCATTCTTAAGCAATGGTCTTCAGTGACTTCATGCAGATACGTATTATCTATGTGCTTCATGTACTCAAGGTCTGATGATTTAAACACATGTATTCTGTATTGAGATCTGAAGGATATTCGGTGTTCAGTTGAGCCACCTCATAGCTAATAAAAAAAATGTTGGTTTAAACTGAAATAAAATCATAAGTTGATGTTATGTCAGATCAGAATTAGATTGATTTGGGGGGATTTTTGATATTTTTGTTTTGCTCTGTTACATGGTATTCTGGAGGAAATAAAATCAATGTCTTTAGGTCAGAATGAGATCATAGAGATTTCCTCTATTCAATTACTGCTTTTTATCTGACAAACTGATTTTACTAAAAAGCATATTCTCTAACTGCCTCTGCTATCTATAGAAATCCAAAATTTTGAGTGCAAAGCTCTATTTCCATGTTTCATATCTCTGAACAATGAGGCAGACATGCAGGAAAACTCCCAACTTGACAGGATTAGTTTCTTATCTAGAACTTGGAGATGTCTTTCTGGAAAAGATGACTGTTAGAGTGAGCTTTCAAACTCATATCTCTTAAACCTGGAGCAATCAAGGTGAAGAAATGCTAACCAAGACAATGGGCAAGAAACTGGCGGTAGCAAGGCTCTGTCTAAGAGGAGACCTATCAGTATGACAACATTCAGATGTTGCATGTATCATCGACCTTCTCCTTGAAGAGATCTGCTGTTAGAGATTTGCTGATGCTACTTTTCTTTAAAAATTTCTTTAGTCCCAAGGCCCCAGTCCCACAAAGGTGGGATTGCATTTACAAAGGGGAGGATGTTTCACTGTCGTGTCTGGTTCACCAGCAGTGTCCGTCTGATACCTGTTATTGGTGCATACTGCAGCACCTGAATTCACTGCTTCTTGCACCTATATTTTGTATTGGCATTCTTTTTGATTCAGAGTTCTGGACTATTTTTATTGTTGGGGTTAACAATAAGTATAGTGAGTCTAGTCTGTTTGACAAGTGGATTTGCCCTAGATCATGATACAGCTGATTTATCTTTTTAATTTCTCTCGTTCTGCTCTTAGGCTTGCTCCTCATTAGGGGAAAAGGTGCAAGCTAATATCTTTTTAATTTCTCTTGTTCTGCTCTTAGGCTTGTTCCTCATTAGGGGAAAAGGTGCAAGCTATAGTATGTTTTTGCTAATATTTACCCGATTTGGTTTTTTTAAAATTTTACAACCTTCCTGGGAAGTTTGAACTGAGTTCAGGAAGAATTTTTTTTGCCTTGCTATTGTCAGAAAACCAACAACTAAACTGTTTTAGTTGGTCCAAATTGTAGTGACATAGCTTTCCACTTGATGGCAATAGAGGTAGGATTATGTCATGTTCCTTCTGGTTTCTGTGTTCAGGGTTACATTTGATGGAAATATAGATGATAGATGGTGGTGAACTTGCAGCTCAAGTGAGCAAAGCTTTCACACAGCTTGGGTAGATGCTGAACTGCAGAAGAAACTTGAGAGCAGTTCTTTCTTTGGTATTTTCCTTTAACATCTGAAGAGGAAGCAAGAGGGAAACTGAGACCCAGCATAAAGTCCTTTTCTATCAGCTGCATAATTAAAATGATGTTTCTCTTTACTTACACTGCTTGTCTTCTGAAGTTATATGTTTGAGCAATTACTGAATACTAATTTATAAAAGTACATGTCACTTGCCCTCTATATTGAGTTGAGAATGCAAAATAGATTGAAGTGTAATGTGCTTTTACTGCTAGTCTAAATGAACTCTTTGCTCATGAGTTCATCTTATCTTGCAACATTTGTGATGTGAACATGGCATGTTACTCAGCCTTTTAATTTAGGTTACCTATCATAAAAATAAAGCAGAGAATTAATTGCTGCTTCAAAGGAAGAGCTGGATTGGAGAGAATCCAACTGGAGAGAAGTCATTTGCAAACTTAAGTGCTTCAATTACATATGTAATCACTACCAATTCTCTTTTGCTACTGTTATTGTAACTAGGTACTGCTGGTAAATGTTTTTCTTGTGAGGAAAGACTGATATTATTTGCCCATCATTGTGTTTATTATTACCCACTTCTTAAAACCTCTCAAGTTTTTAATTTGAAACACAAATACCAGGTGGTCTTAGTGTATTTTCCATGTAATGTAGATTAAATGAAGAAAGTGCAAACCTTGTACGGAGGGAAGCTTAGTGTTGTTTGAATATGCATGTGATGATTTAATATATTGTAATATTAAACCAGCAGCGTGGAAAAAAAAAATCAATCCTGTACTGTTTTTAAGGGTTCCCGTACTTTGTGACTTTGAACCTCTTCACCAGCATGTACGTGCTCTACATAACCTGGTAAAGGCAGCACAGAGTTTTGATGAAATGTCACAAACCATTACAGACCTGCTGAATGAACAAAAGGTATTTTTGCTTTTCTTTACCAATTAAAAATAGTGCATATTTAAAATCATCAACTGTTTTCATAATATTGCATTATCAAACACTTGGTAAACGAGCTTTGTTTTTCCAGATACAAAGATTAGTTGAAGTGCAAAATAAGTTTCCTTTCTAACCACAAACAAGTTAATATTCTGAAAATTTTGAGCTCTTCAACAAGTAGAGTCTGTCTAGAGAATAGCCAAAAGATATTAAGTATCTTCTAAATATTTAACAGGTACTTCTATTCCACAGAATTTGTAGAATTAGAATTATACTTAATATTTTTGTTTTCTGCCATTTTCAAAACTTCTATCTGCAGAATGAGTGCACTCTGCCTTTGTTGCTTTAGTTTGTATTTAATGAAGTTGCTGCTTCTCTAAATTTTTGCCTTGCTTCTTATGTCCTTTTGGCACAAGCAGTTAAGGAGAATTTAGGGCCATGATTGGCTGTCATGCAGTCTTTTTCTTTGAGTATAGAAGGAACAGATGGTAAAAAGATCTCTTCCTAGTTTCACTCTGGCTGTCAAGCGGATTCCTTCCCCTAGAAACTTTCTGCCAATCACTTTGATTACTTCTGTGCATTCAACCTCTAACTTTCATATCATGTCAAACAAGGGTCCCTTTAGCTTCTGACTGCTGCCTGTCTCACTGAAACTCTGGGTGAATTCAGCTATGCTTAGGATTTTATATGAAGTTGACTTCTTCAAATTGGGTTCCTTTTGCTGTAGAAAGTGTTGGTTTTTTGAGACTCCCTGCTATTATCTACACTGTAAATGTTGGTATGCACTTTGCTCACGAGAAGCATCTTCTATGACTGCTAAGGCTATGAGCATGTTTGATTTTTGCATTAGCCATTTCCTGTTTAAACTGGGTGACATGAAGTCCTCTATCATCTTATTTCTCTGGTACTTGAAGAGACTTACTGCAAGTCTTGCATTTATGTAAAATATGAGATCTAGGCTGTTCTTTGTTCTGTGATATAGAAAAGGTACATCACTTACGTAATTTCCTAGCTGTTTTCTCTCTGAAGTGTTTCTCAAATGAGCAGCCATTAAGAAAAAAATATTAGGGCCCAAACCCTGTATTAGCCATTTGGATGTCTGGAATTGGTGTAATTTCTGTGAAATCTTCAAGTTTTCTGAACATGTCCTTCCAACCAACCTTGCTGTGAAATACGGAGGTTTGCCCCCAACATGAAGCATCCTGAAATTTATCTTGTGAGAAACTAGGAAAGTGACAGGTGTTCTACTGAATTAATTTTTCAATAAGGCTTGCAGTATCAGAAGAGTGTGGAATTTTAGTTCAAAGTTATATGTAATAACAGTGGGCAAATAAACTTGTTGAAGTCTTCATGGTTCACCCTTCTTTGTTCAGACTTGCTTATCTGATAAATTTTTATCAGTATCTGGCTGCACAAAACCAAACATGTTAGCCAAATCAGGATAATACTCTTCCCACTCTTCTCTTTTGCTGTGCTTTGACCAGTTTGGATTCTTGGCTGACTCAGAAATGTCAAGTGCTTAGACAGATTTGGATAATTGTCTCTTTCCTTAGAGTAAATTGCATTGCACAGTCAGAGCTGGGCCATTCATGATGTCATCTTGAAAATGCCCATCTCTCTGTAATTTCGGTGATTCATTTGAACTCCATTTGGAATTGAAGCAAATAGATTTTTGAGAGGTTTTTCTTTCTTCTCAAAGACAATGCTCTTGTTACTACTTGACGAAAGGCGCTAGGTCTTTCTCTGTTGCTTTGTTCCGCATGTAATCTAGAAGTGTTTTTTTAAAATATACTGCTTTTGCCCATGTTCTTTTTTGCATATAATTACTGAAAATTTTTTAATGTTCCATTTTTATCCTTAGTATTGCTGGGAATTTACAGTAAATAATTACAAGGATGAGTAAATATTTAGTGATGTCCTGGAGATGCCTACAGCTTCACACAGCTGCATGTTCTGTTGCTGAACAGAGATATCATCCCAAATTGGCGTGCAGGTGTCAGTAACTGTGGAGGTGTTGAGTGTTGCCCATATAGCAGATTATTGCTCTTGTACTCTCCCAAGTAGATGCAGTTGACCCCAGCCTCCCTTTGCATACCAATGGCAGCAGATGCCTAGTTCTTTAAATTGGGCAAGGATAGTTTCCCTGGATTGTTAGTAGTGCAGCCATTCAGCTCTGTCTGGGTCAAGTGGGAGTTTATCCTACTGCATCAGCCACAGCAACAGGTCCTTTAATAGCTGCTTTAGGCAGGAAAGGAAAGCTGTGACTGCAGACAAGTGAGCAAAGAGCAAGTCAGAGGAGATCCAATACCTTACTGCGGTTTTTAAGAGCATTTCTTTGTGTCCCTGTAACTCTTACTGTTTCAGCTTTCAGGTTCATAGAACACCAATGTTGGTATGCTTTGCTATCTGATTTCGTACTTTAGTATTACATCAGAGTAGTTAAAGAACATTGTTGTGGATATTTAATTTGTTACTCTTTTGAAATCTGTTTTCCTTTTGAAAGCATTGTCTCACATCAAAAATGTTGCTGTGCCCTCTCATTTCTATAATATAGACAAAGTTTAAGCAGATCAGTGATCGGGTTTAAAATGTCCAGGAGAAAGTTTAGGTGCCTGTAGGATTCGGGTAAGATGATTAAGGTGTCTTCCCTGTGGTTAGTAGGTGATTAACATATGCAATCCTTTGGTATTAAAAGTTTCTCTTGTGAGAGACTTGCAGGTTTTTCAAATCAGATTATGGATCTACCATTTCTCCTAATTGAGTTAGATTACAAACAGGGTTTAAATTTCATTCTAAAAATTGCTTCATTCTTTGACCATGTTTATCATAGTAACATAACTAGAACAAGGCATATTCTAGGCATACAGGAACACCCAAGAACTTGGAAATTAATTCTGCTTCTCTGTCTCTGCTTTTTATTTTTTTGTTTGCTTGACTCTTTCATTTTCTGTCACAGGAACTGTTGTGTGTTACATGCATACATTGCTGCCTGTCGATTGCAAATAGACTAGATGGCAGGCATCAGCTTCTCAGGGAAATAGGCAACAGTGAACAAAGTGTTCACATAGTTTCAGATACTCAAAATGTGAGGTTTAACTCTACGCTAGCCTGTAATCTGGCATTCTCACTGGAGACCCAACTCACAGCAGCCACTGCAGAGGCATGTAATATGTTACAGTGCCAGGTCATGAGGAAACCAAGTTCATGAGCAGTGGCAAACATTTATTTCCTTCATGCTATTTCCTTACTCTTTGCCTTCTAGGATGATTTTGCAGGATTGCCAAAAGTAGATACCATACTGCCTTTGCACATGGCTTTTTGTAGGGCTTTCTCATTTTCAAAGTGGTGTTTTTAGTATATGCTTATTGACATCTATAGTGCTGGCTGTTGTTGCTGTTACAGGTCTGGTTTATCAGGGCTAAATGTTGTCAGCATATATAGCATTTATTTTTCAGGTGTTCTTAGAAACCCAAGTGAAATGCTTAAACCTGGGCTAATAGTGCTATTAAAAAATAAGCATTTCCCTGATTTTTTTGTCTCATGTTCTGTTGATTTTTGATAAATAAACACAATATTTTGTATGTAATGATCATAATGTTTTATTACAGTGAGTTTTCATACCTGGATTTCAAAATCATTGTATGATTTACTTTCATACAGATGCAAAGGCTAGTGGAGGTGAGGTGTAAATGCAACTCTGCTAAATAGATGAGTGTTGGAGCTGGAAATAGATTCTTCTTAAATTTCAGCTGAGAATTGTTAATGACACTGCATCCCCATTAAGAGAACATTTGCATGTTACAGAGGAGAATGTGGTCCCCTTTTTTTGGGTAACAACCATTTGTAAAAGATTGAGAAAACAAATACTGGCTATTTGTACACCAGCAGTTCAATGTCTGTCACATCTAAGGTTGTTTTTGGTTTGTTTTTTTTTTTTTGGAGGGTTCTGTTTCTGACCATTTATTGCCAAACTCCACTAACTGTTGCTAGTAAAGTAGCTGAATTCAATGATTTGCAAAAGTTTCTTCAATAAAAACTAATGTACTAAAGAACACCAGACACATGATTTAAATTCACGGAGGCAGCGTGAATGGTTTGGGAAACAGGCATGAGCAGGATCGTCAGGATTAACAGCTGGAGGCAGTTACAGCTTTTAGAAGAGCACCGTTCTGAAAGATTTCAAGCTCTTTGAGGCTGGACATCTTATGGGAATCTTTTAATGCAAATATTCCCATGGGTCTTTCTTTAGGACCAGTTTCCTTTCAACATGATCATGTTTCTTAGTTGAATAAGATCAAAAAAGTTCTTAGTTGTGAAGGATGAAAGAGCAAGGTAATGGTTGGGCTGTGGTGTAACAGACAACGTGTCTGAGATCTTTCAGAGCTCTGATCTGTTCAGAAAACTCAGCGTCTCTTCCAGTTTACGATCATGGTGATCCTGTACGAACTTCTTATTCCTACATGTCACAGATACTCTCCTTATGCATTTTAATTGTTTGTGTTTCACTGTAATTTTCTTCAGGAAAAATTGCCTCACTATCCATCCTATCACAAACCTTTTCAGCAATGTGTCCTTAGTGGATACTGTACATTGCTTTGGCTACACTGGGGTGTGTTCTGCACTTGCTGAAACTTAGGGTTTAAGTTTTTATTCTAAGCATCTACAGATGTATTTTTGGCATTAGGGCTTCTATATTCCCTGTTGTATATAATAGTTAATAGTGTAGGATACTGCAGGGCTACAGGCTGACATTTTGTTCCTAGTTCTGGTAAAGATAGTAAAGGAAAAGGACTTCAAGACACACTTAAGTTATTCTGTTAAAGCATGCAAGCAGTAAATTTATTATGTTTAATCTATTAAATTGTAAAGATAAGAATCTGTGACTAAAGTGTAATCTTTTAGGCACGTTGTACTTGAATCTAAATTGAATTTTAGTCACATGCTAAAAGCTCAAAGGTCACACAGCACAGACTGTTTACACA